CATGGTTGAACTCCATACCATTCTACTACAGGTTTCCCACACCCTTTCTTTAAAGATGTTCAAAGTTGGGAACTCAGAAAAATACCCTTTATGACAACCTCTGCCTCTGCAGAGTGGGTCCAAAGGCTGGCTCAATCAGGAGGTCTGAGAGTGTAAGGGGGGTTGGGGGGTAGTCTTCAGGGGTGGCCGCGTGGCTACCTTCCTGGTGCTGGAGTGATAGTGGCTCCCAGTGGGAGAATGTGTGGCTATCCTTCCCACAGTGGATCAGGGCCCAGGCAGCCCTCCTGGTCCAACACCATTTATTAAAGAGGCTATCTTTCCTCCACTGAAGATGGTCAACTCCTTTGTCAAAGATGACGTAGCTGAGTACATCTGGATTTGGTTTTGTGTCTTCCAAACTGTTCCATTGATACTCAGATCTGTTTCTTTGCCAGTGCCATGCTGTTTCTATCACAGTGGCTTTGTAGTATAGTTTCAAATTGAAAATTGTTATACCCACTGCCATGTCTCCGTTGCCTAGGATGGCTTTTGGTATTCTAGGTCTCTTCTGGTTCCAAATGAATTTTTGGATTCTTTTTTCTAGTTCTGTGAAATATAGTGCTGGAGTTTCGATTGGCATTGCATTGAATCTGTATAGCAGTTTTGGCAGTATGGCCATTTTCACTATGTTGATTCCTCCTACCCAGGAGCAGAGGATATCTTTCCATTTTCTTATATACTCTTTGATATCTTTTTTCAGAGTGCTGTAGTTTTCAGTGTAGAGGTCTTTTGATTCTTTTGTTAAATTGATTCCTAGATACTTCATTTTTTGGGATGCCATTGTGAAAGGAATTGTTTCCCTAATTTCTCTCTCAGTGACTCTGTTATTTGCGTATAAGAAGGCTACTGATTTTTGGGTGTTGACTTTGTATCCAGATACTCTGCTAAAAGTGTCAATTAAGTGTAGAAGTCTTTTGGTAGAGTTTTTTGGGTCTTCAATGTAGAGTATCATATCAGCAAATAATGACAGCTTAACTTCTTCCTTTCCTATCTTTATTGCTTTAATTTCTTTCTCTTATCTAATTGCCCTGGCTAATGTTTCCAGAACTATATGGAAGAGGAGTGGTGATAGTTGGCATCCTTTTCTTGTTCCTGATTTTAACGTGAAGGTTTTCAGTTTTTGGCCATTTAATATGATGTTGGCTGTTGGTTTTTCATAGATAGCCTTTATTAAGTTGAGATATAGACCATCTATTCAAATTTTTTTGCAAGGTTTTTTATCATGAATGGGTGTTGAATTTTGTCAAATGCTTTTTCTGCATCTATCAAGAGGATCATATGGTTTTTGTCCTTAACTCTGTTAATATAATGTATTACATTTATTGACTTACGTATGTTGAACTATCCTTGCATCCCTGGAATAAATCTGACTTGGTCAGGATGTATGATCTTCTTGATGATCCTCTGTATTCTGTTTGCTAGTATCTTATTAAGGATTTTTGCATTAATATTCATTAAGGAGATTGGCCTGTAGCTCTCTTTTTTAGTTCCTTCTTTCTCTGGTTTGGGAATCAAAGTGATACTTGCTTCCAGGAATGAGTTTGGAAGTATTGCTTCCCTTTCAATTTCATTGAAAAGTTTGAAGAGTAATGGCAGTAGTTCTTCTCTAAATGTCTTGTAAAATTCAGCAGTGAATCCATCAGGAAAGTCCTGAGTTTTATCCCTGGTACCAAAAAAGAAAAAAGAAGATCTCTGTGTGTGTGTGTGTGTGTGTGTGTGTGTGCGTGTGCACGTGCAGAAGCTTCTGGGAGCATTGTTGGGGTGGAAGTGAAGACAACAGTTGGTGGCTAAGTGTTGTAATGGTTCAGAGGTGGTTGTTCTGTGCATGAGGGGTGCTGTGAAGGAGGTGAGGTGAGGTGATTGGACTAGGGTAAATTAAAGTTAGTGGGAACTGTGAAGTACAACTTAGATTTTTGATGGATTCATGTGGTGCATGATGTATCATGGAAAGTTCTTAGGTTTTTGGCCAGTTAGCATGAATGGTAGGACTCTTAACCAAGAAGGCAGAAATCTGGGAGGGTCTGTGAGGAGACCAAGGGTCAGCAAGGAGACTCACAAGTTCTTTTTGGTCTTATTTGGATCTATTAGATACTCAAGTAGACATGCTAGTGAAACAGTTGCTTGGAGACATTCATCACACTTTTGATCACCAGTGAAGTTCAAGTCTGAATTCTGACCCCCCCATTTCCTAATTGTTGTTGCTCTTTTCCCCATGTTTCACGTTCATAGAGTCTGGTCTCCAAAGCTGCTCAGTCATTCTGGGCAGAAGTGAGAGAGAAAAGGGGGTAGCTGGGGAGGAGATATGTCTTTGCAGGTCATGCCCCCAGGGACCACTCTTCCTTCCTGACACCACCTCCTCCTGGCACATTTAGCTATGGATCCATCAATGGATTAATCCACTGATGAATATATAGGACTCCATGGTCCAATCACCTTTCACCAAATGAGAATATTGGAGGCTATTTTAGGTCTAAACTGTAACACCTGGTAATGGAGACCACCCTGAGTGAACTGCAAATTCATAACCTGGCTTTTCATATTAAAAGTCTGAGCCTGCCTATTAGCCCACAATGGCTTGCCCAAAGAGCCAGCTGTTGGTGTGGGAAAGGAACAACTCCCCACACAACTGGTCACAGCAGAGGTCTCAATGATACTATGATGTCTTGGATGGCTAAGGGCAGCATGACTCATATATAAAATTTCTATAGAGGCAGAAATTAATCTGTGGGAAAAAATAAATTTCCCATTAATCAAAGAGCTATTCCTGCTAGAATGTCTCATTCTCTTGTTGCTAAGACCTTGCATCAGTGCTCTACACTCCACTGTTCCCTGCACCACTCCTTACCCCTTCAAAAAACTCCAAGAGACAGGTGCCTTAGCCTGATAAGAGCTTTGACCATCCTGGGAACCCCATTTATGCAGTGAAGATCTTGTCTTGTCTATTGTTACCCTGCCACCATACCCTTGGTCAGGTGAGTGGAGGTCTGATCAGCTTCCAAAAACTTGGATTCCCCCAGGATAGTTGATTGGCATGTGTTGAGGTTTATATGGGTGCAAGAGAGGGTGCTCATCAGCCCTCTATCCAGCCCAGCTACTTACCCTGCTCCATCCAGAAAGATGGATCTGTTTTGATTAAGTGAGTGTCTAGGAGCTCTAGGCCAGAAGCCATCCTGAGGAATCCTCAGGATTGTAAGAGCTTGGTATGATCACCGAGCTCTGACATTTGTCTCATCTGCTGGGCTTGCAGAGTTACAGTGCATATAGAAGCTCTGACTACATTCACACAGCAGGCATTTAGTGAGAGCTAGCAGATGATCTTGTGCTCTTCTATCATAACTGCATTTCAGGGATATTATAATTGTGCTACTGTCAAAGTCAAATTTTATGTTTGTATTCAACATTTCAGTCTGAATATATCCATTCTTGTGTCACAAATGAAAACACATATTAATGCCTTAGCCCCAATCATACCCCTTGTGTAGGAGAGAAACTAGGTCATTGGTTTGTTTCCTAGGGCTCCTGGTGGGAAAATTGGTTGTTATGATCACTTGCATAACATGTCTGTCTTTTCATGTGTGTGCCTCTACTGTTGCTGTGGACTCCATTTACAAGCTGTACCAAGGGCCTCACAGAACCCCAGCTACACAGTTCTGAAACCCTCTGTAACTCAGGATACATCATGGAAGTGAGGTGGACAGATGTGAGATTGTAAGAGCCCGTTATGAGGGGTGGATTTTATGTGTTCAACTTGACATGACTGCTACCATCTTGAGTTGTGACCCTATAATTGCTCCAGGGTGACCCTCCTTAGTTTCTGCTGCAGTGTCCTAGCAAATGTAATAGGCAAAACCATTACAGGGTCATGTGGAGCTTCAGGCATGTGTTTGACCCTTTGATATCAGCTTGAGATAAATCAGATACATTTCTGTTAGGAGGAAGTCACTGTTTTAAACCATAAAAATGCACCTCTTTCTGACACAACTTGTGGGGTCCAACTAGTCTTTCTGTTTCCCAGAACAATGCTTCCTCCAGCAAGTGCCCAAATATTTCACACTGCACAGTCCTGCATCTGTCTGTCTCTTCAGTCTCATGGCATTCTGCACCAGGAACACATACACTAGGACTGAGTTGTCCCAAGCAAGTCCTAAACCTCCAGGTTGGTGTTTTTAGTTCCCAGTTAGCGAGGAAAGGGAAGATAATGAGTTTACATCAAGTGGCAAAGATTCTCTGCTTGATCAAACTTTAGTTAGGATCCTCAATCTTCTCCTGGGCCCATTGTGTACTTCCTTATAAAATCCAGCTTTTGCAAGAATCCCATTAAATCAGTTTAGAAAGAATCCATAGTCAAATCTGATCACTCTGGCTCCTCATTCTCTACCACCTGCATGTGATGCTTTGCCACCCTGGTTGGTCCTCAGCAAGTCTCCTGTTAGGTTGGTTTGTAGAGTCCTCTTTCCTATGGTTTCTCCTCTTAGTAATTTCCCATCCCCTGGCCCCACCTTGCTTCTTGGCTATGAAGCCCCCTTAACCACGCCTGTGCTTGAGCTCCTCCTCCCCACATGAGACCCTATTGCCATGGTCTCCATTGCCACTGAGATGTTCTGAGCTTTATCAAGTGTGACTGAATAACATCTTTAACAGGATTTGTGTGCTTTTATTGAGAGCATTACTATGCTGCAGACTAGGAATCTAAGGGTAAATTTTCCAGAAGAATGGAGATTAAAAAAAATCCTTCTGGTACCAAAGTCTTATATTTGATTGAGATATTAAATGGTTTTATTTCTACTTTGGAAGTAATAGGGGAGAAAACAATGTTGGACGTGGTCCTTCAGAATGAAGCCATGACACACTGGTAATGATCTCAGAGCAGCTGCCACCAGGCTCACCTACATGTGCCAGGCACTCTCAGGACTTCTTCTGGCTGAGGACGAGGCCAGTGCTGGAGTGCCTTCAAAATGTGCTCAGAGCTCCAGGCAGAAGCAGATAGAAGTGCCTTTCATCTTTTCTCTGTAGATTTCTTCAAACCTCTCATTCTGGGCCACAGTGAAGTAGTTTTTCCAGTCCCCCACAGTTCCTAGAAGACAGAAGCCCAGACAGGAATGTCACTCTCTGATTGACAGTGGGTGGCCTGACTGGAGCTATGAATGCTCTCGGGGGCCTTGCCTGTCTACAGCTGGCCACACCAGGTCACCTTCGGTGGATGACAGCCCACCTGCAGCTTTCTGCCATGAGGAGCAGCTCAAGGGCCTCTGAGCAGGAGGACAAAAGGGAGCAAGGACCTGGAACATTCTGGCCCCACCTGTGGTACAGCTGCATGTTGGACACTACATAGACATGACAATGGAATTCAGCCACATGGAGGGATCTAGGACATTTTGGTGACCAGGGACCTCTCACATGAGATACCCACAAACAGGCAAGATCAGTGAAGTCAGACAGTGGTGGTCTCTGCAGGTAGAAACCCATTTTGCAGGTAGAGACCCAGCAGAAGAGGCATGATGATGAGTTTTCTGGGGAGATGAGAACATTGCTCTCATGGTTGAGTGCCAGAGGTATGGCTGCATAGCCATACAGATTAGAAATTGATGAACTGTCCACTTAAGATCTGTACATTTTTATATGTAGATTACATCTCCATGAAAACAATCCAGAATCCAGAAACCATTCAAATTAGATATAATTTTTCACCAAGCAGCAATTGAAATAATTTTAGGTGTTAAAATATTCTTTGCCTCATATTGTTGACCTTTCTGGAAAATTGGGCAACAGAAATGAAAGCATTAGGAAAGAAGAACCTACACACAAAAATGCTCAGGGCAGCATTATTTGTAATGATGAACATGGAGAACAGCAAGAAATGATGCCTGTTGGGCTGGGGGTAGAATGTTCTGATTTGCTACAGGAGCTTGGGATGCTGCTGGAGATTGGAAAGTGAGGAAACAAATCCAAGCCTGAGGGGGAGACTGGAGGAGAAAGGGAAGGTGTCCCTCAGCTGTACACACACCATGGCCCCAACAGGGTGAGAAAGGAAGGTGTGTGAGTCTACACAGCAGGGGGAAGGTGGCTGTTGGTGGCTGCTTCTTTTCAATTATAAATGAAAGTTATTCTTAAAAAATATGAACCAGGCCAATTTGAATTCCTCTTTTGGAAATTGGAATTAAGACTTATTAAGAGATGCACTAACTGTAGTTGAAAATTGTGACATGCGACAGGTGTGTACAATGATCAAGGCCAAATCAAGAGCAGAAGCTGAGGCAGTGGAAGCTCTAGTGCTGACAGACAGCCAGGTAGTGGGCAGCAGAGGAGGCAGTGTGGGTGAGAATAGGAGTGGAGCCTTGTAAGTGGCCTTAGAGTGAAGATCCACACCTTCTCTCTGAAGTCCCAGACCCCTGGTGGGGTACCAGCGAGGTCTGGACTAGTGCTGGTTCCTGCACTTCCTTTACTGTGTGTCATGCTCTCTGTAGCACCATCAAGCCCCAGCCTTGATAGGAAAAGGCTCTGAGGGCACCGGGATGGCCAAGTGGTTAAGGTGCTGGACCTAAGAAACAGGCTCTGAGGAGAGGGATGCACCTTGCATGTATGAAGTGCAGCCTTGTATTGGCAGTGTCCTCAGACAAGCTGAGATTTCAGAGTCCGCACAAACCTTTTCTCATGAAAGAAGAAACAGTTAGGTCCATGTGAGATTTGGGAACTGTGGAACGATTCACCAAGGGATTTTCTTTCATTTTCTCAAAGGATGTCTGCTGGACAATTTTATCCAGCACTGCTTCTTCCAAGTTCTTTCCCATGAACTGCATCACCTTCTGGATTTCCTGCTTGGGATCCTGGGGTGAGGGTAGCATTGGATTGGAATGGAAGAATTTCAGAAAGCCATTCTATCCCTCTATTCCCCTCCCAGATGTAGGCTCCAAAATAGCTCCAAAGTATATGGGCTCACCCTCTTTATGTCCTCATAGAAGAGGAAGAGAACTTGGTATCTGTCCCTCATGTCCCACCATCCTCTCACATGATCAAACCAGGAGCCCCAGGCTACTGCAAAACACAGGGGAGAAGAGGCCACCCCATGATGGCACAAAACCTTGGAGTCTGGAGGGCATGGGGCGAGGGGAGGCAAACTCTGGATGGGGCATGTCCTGGGGTCCTGACCTACTGATCTAGAAGGTCTTGTGGATTGCCACAGCCTTGGTTCTCTTCCCAACTCACCACCAAAAGTGGCTTTGTGTTGGCATGTGCCATCCTTGGCACTCTTCTACGGGGGCCTGAGGGATTCTGCACCTGGTGGCCCAGGATGGAGGCTTTCAGGTCAGCTGGGGGTGTTTGCTGAGGCTGAGAATCACTGGGGAAGCTGCCTCCTGCCTCACCTGGTCCCAGATGGTGGTGGCACTGACTGAGGGTACACTTGACATCCAGGAAATGAGATATCTCACATGGTTCCCTAGACTTGGCCTCCTGGGGTGGGAACACAGGCTGTGGAGGTTTTTCTTTTACCTTTTCCATTGACGAAGGTTTCAAAGTACTCTTCCCAGGTACCAGGGTCGGGGAGCTTTTTGTTCATCCTTTGGAAATGGTAGTAGGAAACCATGCAGTCCTTGGCATTCCGAGCTACATAAATGAACTTGGGGTGAGAAGAAAGTGGCTGAGAGATGTGACACGTAGACTCTCACAGGGCTCCGGGGGCATCCAGGGCTGGAAGGGACACGTGGTCTCATGACCTCCTCTTGCTGACCACCCTGCCTCTCTGCCACCCTGGTCTTACTAACTCACAGTTAGCCAGCCTGGCTCCTGACCACCCTTGTGCCAGAAGCGAACCCTTCCTGTAGGAGTGGTGACCTGCCATCCACTCCAAACAGCCACCTGGGCATGAGTGAGCCTCCCAACACCTCATCTTATTTCCCAGAGAAGCAGGAGAGCTTCATGGCTACAAGTTTGGGCCATACTCACTGGGCTCCTTGGCTGACCATGCACAGTCCTTGTCCTGGCAAGGAGTAGCCTGTGGCTATATGTGACCAAGCAGGCTGGGTGCTGGCTGTGGGAGGAGTCGAGTGAGTCTTACAGTAAAGCAGGGGGCCCAGGGCTGGCAGCCACACCAAGTGCTGGCTTCCTCTGTCCACCTGCTTGTTCCTAGCTCTCCTGTCCACTCTGTGAGCCTCCACGGCCTGCAGCTGCTGCCTATCTAACTAATGCCTCCTAAGCTGCTCCAGTTGTGGTCACCACCCAGGCAGTGGTCACCTCATGTCCTCCCCCATGAGTACACTCATACTATTTCAGGCCCACACCCTCCCTCCCATAAGCTGCCTTCCTACCTTGCAGCTCTTTCCCCAGAAAGAAGGTGGCAGCAACACTGTGGACAGGTGTGTCCTCATCGTCCTCGGGGAGGGCATGATATTAGCTTTGTTCACACCTGTGAGACAATTCCAGGGACATGTTGGCATCTGCCATACCCTGTGGTATGGGTTCCAGGCTGGGTTCAGAACATTCGGCTACCTGCCTATCTCTGCTCTCGGACTTGGAGACTCACAGCGGGCGGTTGACATTTTCCTCACTTTGGTAGAATCACATGGTGTGAGGGGACAGAGCCCCAGGTTAATTTATGTCAGCCTCAGGGTATGGTGGACCAACAATGGTTGAGCAGCAGCTGGGCAGGGGCGGCGCCAGCCTAGAGCACAGACTCTCTACCACCCTGGCTGCCAGAGAAGTCACATGCTATTGCCTGTGCGAGCCTCTTCCTATCCACAAAAGCACAGGAGTCACGATTCTTATTCTCATTTAAAACCCTCATGAGGCTTGCTCTTTCTGGTCCTGGTGCTCAATGCGGAGAAACAGCCCAGGCTTCCTCCTCAGCTTTATGCTGCAGCAATCATCAGCAGTCGGGAGGTGGCGCCAGTGAGTGGCGCTGGCGCAGACAGGCTGGGACTGCGCTCAGGGTCTGAAGGGAGAGGTGGTTCTCTTAAAGTTGGACTCTGACTCATGGAAGAAAACCCATCTGTATGAAAGTCAGGGAGCTTGGTCATGCGGAGGAGGGTATTTCTAAGGCCTGGGAATATGAACATAGCATTTAATTCTCCTCGTGCTGCAGGAAGGCATGTGTGGAAGCATCTCTTCACCTCTTCCTGCTTGCTAGCGGGCAGTAAGGTCTCACAGGTGACCAGCTCTCCTTCCTTGCAATCCAGGAGCCCTGAACCCCTGAAGGGCCAGGCCCTCTCCTGCCAGTACCTTGGGGTTGGCTGTCCTCTCACATCAGAGGAAAAGGGCCTATTTGCCAGATTCCCTGGGAGGGGGAGGAGGAGGTCGCAACCTTCAACTCCTGCCCCTGGACGTACATACCTGGGCCTTAGAGATCTGACCCAAGACCCTTCTGCTGGAGACCACAGGGGTTCCTGAGTGCACAGCTCCACACCTTGCCAAGATATGTGCACAGAGTTATCACTTTGAGAGTCTTGATTTCGCTTCATATGTTGGGAATCCCCAGTAATAATGATAAGTTATTTGCTGCACTGTGGGTTGAACCCAGCATTTACTAAGCACAGACCTACCTCTGAGTTACAGCCCAGCTGCATCTCGAGCACAGCTGAGTGGCACCAGTGCATTCAGGTTGTTGTGTAACCATCAGCACCAGTCGCCTCTGAATTTTGTCATCTTCCTAAACAGAAATCCCGTGCCTGCCAGACTCAGCTCCCAGTCCTCCTCCCAGTCACGTCTCTCGCTGTGTGCTCGGCCACTCAGGGTCTCCTACGAGTGGACACACACAGGTGTCCCTGTGCATCTGACTTATGCCACGCAGCAGTGTCTGTGGCATCCAGTGTGCTGCATCCTGGTTCAGAGTCCCTTCCTCTGTGGCTGAACGCTGTTCCACTGTGCATAGACCCACATTTCCTTTCTCCTTTCAGCTGTCAATGGACACAGTGCTTCCCAGTGGCTGGTGTGCCGAACACAGGCGTGCAGATACCTGTTTGAATTCTGGTGTTCATTTTCTAGAAGTGGGACTGCTGGACTGTATACATGAAGGAAAGCATTCTGACACTAGAAAGGAAAGCTGCACACCACTCTGAAGGACACCAACACCCGTACTCCTCACGAGGCTGCAAACTGTCCCTTCTCTATCTCTGTCCTCAGCACCTGGCTCGAGTCGTGCTCAAACTCAGCCCCTTATTCACACAGGTGCTGCCCTTGGGCTGCCTGCATGGTGAATGTATGTCCTGCTCGTCCAGCTCTGTGCTCCACTGGGTCCCAGGCACCATGTTCCTGAGTTTCTGCGGCACAGGTCCTGGGTCTGCCCTCAGCGTTCCACCCTTGGCCACTGGTTCGGGCAGGGTCGTCTTCCCACCTTCATTCTACCAAGCCCTTTGTGAAGCTGCCAACTTCCTGAAGTAGCTTCTTTTGCCTCTATTTTCTTTTGATTTTTTTTTTTTTAGTGTAAAAAGAAAAACTTCCAGGTCTAGCTTTCCCTGAAAAAAGCTTCTCTAGTGAGCAGAATGCATTGTGTGAGTGGATTTTGAGGCTCCCTCTGGCACCTCACTTTTAGGGGTGTGGGGAGATGATGTTGCGAGGGCCCCAGGCAGGTTCCCCCTTCCTATGAGTCCCCACTGATGAGTGACCAGAGTGAGCTTCAGAACAGAGGGGCTGAATCAGACCTTGGCAGGAACCCTGTTCCTGTCACTTTGTTTTTTTTTGGTACCGGGGCTTGAACTTTGGACCTTGCACTTTCTTTTTTCTTTTCTTTCTTTTTTTTTTTTTTATTTTGGCACTTTTGAGACAGGGTCTCACTATGTAGTTCAGACTGCTCTGGAACTCACTGTGTAGCCTAAGCTGGTCTCGAACTCACAGCGATCCTCCTGCCTCAGCCTCCCAAGTACTGGGATTACAGGTGTGCATCACCATGCCTGGCTTTGGTCCTTGCACTTTTGAGGCAGGCGGCAGAACCTGAACTAAATCCCCAGCCCCCTTGTATCACTCTTGGTACATAACTTAGCTAATATGAGAAAAGGGGAAAGGAAAAGGAAACTCATGACCACAGAAACAGAGGAGGCGAAGGGAGAACAGAGAGGAGAGAGCTGGGGAGAGGGGAGAAGAGAGTGAGGAGGACCCAGAGAGATGGAGAAGGGAGCCTGGCCATAAGGGGCTCTCACCTGAGGGCTGGGGTGGCTGTGCCCACTCAATGAATGGGTGACGGAGCTGAATGATGGACCGCTGGCACTTCATCTCATCCCCATCCTGCTCAATCATGTCCACAATTTCCTGTATCCATGTTGTCCCTGAGGGCCAGGGGAGGAGAGAAGCAGAGACCTCAGATAGCTGGCCCTGAAGCTCATGGAGTGAAGGACAGGTGCAGAAAAGGATGTAACTGATGCCTCCCCTCTGGCTAGGACCCCACTAGCTACAACTGAGAGACACCAGGACCAGGACCTTGTTAGCCAGGACAGTGGAATGCCAAGGTCAAGATGCCACTAGCAAGGACCGAGGGACACCATGACCAGGACCCTGCTGGCCAGGACAGAGGGATGCCACATTGGAGGGACTTTGGGTCTCTGTAGGGAGTGGAGCCACAGAGACCAAGCTCCTGCCCATCTGAAGGGGTACAGACCAGGCACAGTGGGTGGCCCCAGTGCTGGCCGCTGGGCCCAGAACTTGGGTCCCAGGTGCCTGTGTGCCCCATCCTAGGACAGGGATTCTGACTCAGCATGGAGCTCTTTGAGGTTGCCCTGCCTCAGCACCTGACTTGGGGTAGGTACAGATGAGGAGATCGTCTGGCTTGGCTTCAAAGTTATGGATCTGGCTCCAGTTGTCCACCGTGGAAGCAGGTAGGGGTACTCCTGCCACCTCAACCAGTGGCCTCCCTAACCTTGCGGCCATTGTGTCCTGGGGTGCAGGGTCCTAGAGGAAAAGAAAACACAAAGTTGACTACTGTGCCCAGTTCTAGGTGTACAGAGTGGTCCCACTAGTTATACACACATTGTTGTGCAGCCTTCACTACTACCTATCTCTAGACCTTCCCATTTTCCTGAATGGAAACTCTATCTAGAAAATGCCAAGGATACCTACCCTTCCTACCCTGACTGTCACTGAGCTGCCACATCTGTGAAGTTCATGCCGCCTGTTCCTCTGTGAATGGCTTGTCTCCCTTAGCTTGACGTCTGTGAGGTTCAACCGTGTGTGGCATATTACAGGGCCTTCTTCCTTCTTAAAGCTGATTCTGTTCCCTGCCCGCCTGAGCTGTCTCTTACTTTGCTGTGCATTCACCCATGGATGCTGGGGTCACTGCCACCTTTGGTTGTTGTGATGATCCTGCTGTGAACACGGTACACATATATTTCTTTGAGCTCTTGCTTCACATTCTCTGGGCTGTGCACCCAGACACAGAATTTCTGAATCAATTATTTGATTTTTTTGAGGAAGTGTTATACCATCTTCCACAGTACTATGTCACTATGCAAGGATTTCAGTTTCTCTAAATCATTCCTATCCTCTCTGGATGGAGCTCCAGGATGGGGGAGCATCCCAGCAAAGCAGGGTGGTGCTCAGATGGGTGTGGCTGTGGGGAACCCAGAAGCAAGTGTGTTCCAGGGATCTTAGTGTTAGAACCAACAGTGCTTACTGATCTGGTGTGAGGGGGTGGCAACCAGAGTCTGGCTGGTGGTGGGCAAGAATGGGAGGCTGGAGGAGGGCAATTCTTCCATGGGGCTGAGTCTGAGCTGCATCTGGGACCCTGCAGGGCCTCCTGGGAGGTGGGGTGGGTCTAGGGCTCTGACTCAGAGAGTACGATTTGAGAGTCACCCAGTCACTGGTTGGCCAACTTTGGCAGGTGTCATGTGTCTGGCTGTGTGAGTCCAGGAGGGTGAGCTCAGTCACGCAGTCCCCATTTCCAATTGACTGAGGAGTTTCAGCTCTCCTCTCAAGAGCCATGTGCACTTGGGAGCAACTGTGTGTGCTTCAAAGTGTGGTCTTATCCTCTCCGTCAGGCCAGGCAGTAGCTCAGAGGCCCAGCTCTCAGCCAGTCCTGGGTCACCAAGGGTTGGCTGACACCCTACAGTCTGGAGTTGCCAGACCAGTGTGGCTGGTGCACATAACCTTATGTGGGTTTGATGTGTGAATTTTTAATGCTGATGCCATATCAGGACATTGCCCCATTGGATGGGCTGCTAGTGCTGCATATTCGGGGTTTGCAGGGCGGTGAGCAAAGAAGCCACAGAACCTGGCTCCATCAGTAACTGGGGGTCACCTGTCTGGGGCTTAGTGCCCCTGCCACCCCATTGTGCTGGAGGTGTACGCTGGTGTGCTGGCACTGGCCAAAGCTCAGGTGGGCAGGGGAGCCCAGGCCGCAAGTCCTTTTCACCATCCCAAGGAAAGGCCTCATCAACACATGTTCCTACCAGAGGACTGGGGACACAGATAAGCAGCTGGCTGGAAGCTTTGTGTCTTCTCAGCACAGGTCAGCTGTAGCCTCCTTGATGAAGCCATCCTTGTCCCCAGCTCTGTGGACAGAAGTACTCACTCCTCCCTACAGCAGCTTGTGTGTATACTTCCTATGCTTTATCCCACTGTCCGGTAATTACGCAACCAGCCCTGGAGCAGCTGCCTGGGCAGGTCCCATTCACAGGCCCAGCATGGGCTGTGGTCAGAAGCTGGGACCAAGGGAAAGTCCTTGGGGCCAAAGGGACAGTCACAGCTAGACAGGTCCAGCTGGTACTGGGAGGAGGGGGAAAGGGCTTTGGGTAAAGTATCAGAGTAGAAAGAGAGAGGGCACGGGAGAGTGGGGGCTTTTGGAGGTTGCTGCCTGATTTCAGGTCCAGCAGAGTCAGGCTACTGTCCGTTGACTATATTCATTTGCAGGTTCTTTTCCAGTTCTTTGGGATCCTTTCTGTTGGAGTTAATCTACCTGCACAGCAACACCTGCAGGATTGCAGACTAAGACACATGGACAAGTTAAGCACAGCATTCCCCTTCCACCACTGTCTTACCTTCAGGTTCTGGCTGGAGGTCAGGAGCCCAAAGCCCAACCAAGGGCAGGGGCACGGGAAGTGGGTGGTGGTGGTGGTAGGTGAGTGGTGCTCCTGCGCACAGACACTGTAAGAACTCAAACCACTGCTTCCAGTGTGGTCAACAGAGCCATTCCTGTGAGCTTTGGGATGCACAGAAGCCACTGTCACCTCCCTGACCAGGACGCACCTTTCTCTGCACCAAGACTGCTCAGCTGAAGCCTGAACTTGTTGCAGGCTCAGTTCTGGACTCCTGCAAATGCAAGCTTTTGGAGGAAAAACCTAGTGACCTTTCCCTCTGTGAGCTCAGGGGTCTGTGTACATGGGCTCCTCCTTCCTCTGTTGGTTGGGCAGAAAGTCTAAAGTGGGCATGTCCTGGGTGCTGCTGTGCTTATGGTTTAAAGAAAGCTCTGCCCCAAAGCCTGCAGCCTCTGTCCTTACCTAGAGGAAGCTGGCCCCTCCCTGGGCACACAGCCCCATCAATCATTTAGACTTAAACAAGAGGTTGATTTACTGCCCAGATATACCAAGTCCATAGGCTACCAGCCACTGAGTTCATCATTCATTTCCCTTGTAAACGCTCTTGTGCCTAAAGCGGAAAGGAGCTTAAATCTGTGCTGGGTTGGGGATGATGGTCCCTCTCTTCTCAGACATGTAGGCTTATTGGGTAAATCTCTCCTTGACCCAAGAGCTTGTCCTCAATTCATTGGGTTCTGTTCAAGCAGTGAGCAGTGGAGCGGGGTTTGGCAAGAGGGGATGTGGGAAGTTGGCTCTAGGGCCTGCAGTGTCCAGCCCCAGGTGACCTGGGCCTGAGGTCACTTTGCATGGATAGAAGGTTGCTGGGGACCTATCTCCAGTGGGTGCCTAGGGCCAGAAGCCACAGTGGTAACAGAGACCTTTCTTACCCCCAGGTACTAAGTAAAGAAGAGCTGGCTCTTCTTTATCTGGGTCCCAAACTGTGCTCACCAACCCCGCACTCAGTGATGACAGAGAGGAAGAGCTGCCTGTGTGTGCTCACAGCAACCTCATCTCCAAGACACCCTTTTATGAGGCAGAGTTCAACCCTGTGTCCTGCTCCCTGGGGGACTGGACTGACCTGTGCTGAGCAACCCTGTTCTGGGGCTCTTCTACCTGCAGCCAACTTGGTTCATGCTTTGCACTTTTCTTCTGGACCTCAAGTGCTCCATCTGCTCCCTGCCAAAGCTGCCTGTTTTCTGTGACTCTAAACCTCCCAGGGCTTTGAGGCAGGCCCTCCTCCTTTAACTGCAGTCTAGCTATCTTCCTTCCTTTCTCTTCCCAACTCACTTAGCCAGCACTGAGTACTCAGCCCTCAGCCGACTCTCAAGTTCTCAGCATTGATGCACACCCTTTCTTAGATATTCCTCTCAACCAGCTCTCTGCTTTTGTGTCTGAAGTACTGCTCAGTGGCCACTCCACCCTTGCTGCAGTCTTCAGCACCTCGTAGGCTATGTCTTCCACTCTGAAGCACAGACCTGGACTTCCTCCCCCTATGTAATGATATACTTTATTAATTTAACATTTATATTATAAATTTTAGATGTATTGAGGGAAACTGTGAGTAGGATAAGCCCACAGTCCCTGCAGCCCCAGAATCTGTGACCACTGCATGCAGTCTCAGCCTCCAGCTCATGGTGACCAGCTGGGTGTGTGTGGCCTCGGGCAGTCCCGCTCCTCTCTTTTTCTTCCCTTCCAGAGATAACTTAAGCCTAGTTTGCATTAGTATCCTGGTTGTTTCTGGGCCAGTCCAGATGCATCTTCTGATGTCACCTACACAGGCCTGGGCCAGTGGAAAGGAACTTGCTTCCTTGCACCTGCTGCACTGGTGGCCCCGCCTCTGGCCCCCTTGTGCTCTTCCAACCCAGCTGCTCCTAGTCCATTTCTGCAGAGCCCACAGCCATCCTATTGGGAGCTTTATCTTAAGATGGAGCTGACGTGGATCTCTGCTGTCTGCTACCTGCATGCATCTTCAGAACCACAGTTCTGTGAGGCTCAACTCACACCACACACTCCAGTCACTGAGTATGCACAGCTTGGTGGATTTCATTCTGCCTCTAACACCACAGCTTAGGATGCTTTGACTAGCTCACGAAGAGAACCTTAGCCATGATAGTCACCGCAGCCACCCTGCTGCCCAGCATTGCTTGTTGATGGTCCATTTTCTGCCTGGCATCTGCCTGCTGTGAACATTTCAGGTAAACTCAGGGATGCATGAAGGTGAACTGAGTCTTCCAATATGTAGTAGTCCAGAGACTCATGGAATACTCATGTTGAGTTTTCTTTTACAGCAATTTTCTTTTTTTACTGTAATGAATAAGACAACTACCTTACCATAGTCTCAGTGGTCCCAAGCACAATGGCACATGTTTGGGGTGAGCTCGAGGCCTGTGGCACTGTTTTTATTGAAAAATATGTCTTATCTTCCAACCAGAACTGGCTATTGTGGTATGCGATCTCCGTGAATGATTCTTTGTCATGTTCCCATTTGACAGGGTTGATGTATTTATTTCAGGAATAAATGAAGGCTCAAAATGAAAACCTTTAGTTTCCACCCAGTCTGGGACTTCATGGCTTTCTGAGAGTTTTCTGGGTGTCTGTCCTGGGTACAGGTAGGAGAAGCAGCCTCATGACCCTGGGTTGCAGGCACAGAGGATAGTGTCCAGGTCCCGGAGGGTAGGAGCTGTCCCCAGTACATGCTTCTGCTAAGGATGCTTCCTCCATGGCTGCTCAAGCCCCCTGGGTATCTTGAGAGCACAGAGTGGTGGGTTTCCTTAGGCATGGGGTGAGTGCTGGGCCTCCCTGTCTCTCTCTGCCTCTGCTAGGTCCTGCTTTGACAGCTGAGCTGGCTCAGTGCATCCCTGGGTTGTGCTGTCCATGCTG